AGCCCTGCTGGTCCAGGGGATTACTTTCCATGGTGGGGAAGTGACACCCAGAACCACCTGGCCTGGCGCGGCCAAGCCCGCATGCTGGGCGGGAACTAGGAATCCTCTCCAGCCTCTGGCCCCGTGGAGCCCTCAGCCTCAGCTGCAGTGCAGGCACCTCGGGCACTGGGGCAACCAAGGGTGACAGGTGGCTGTGCACGGGCAGAGGTCCTATGGAAGATTTCACGTGGAGGGCAGAAGAGGAGGAGGAGGCAGGGGAGGAAGCGCATCCATGAACAGGGCTGTCTGGGGGCAGCCTGGGCGGTCTTGAACTAGGACTCAGTAGCTTTGAGTCCTCATTTAGGACCTGCCATTCTTTAGCCCGCCTGGCCTTTGGCAAATCACCAGCTTCGTGCACAACCTCATTTTTCACCTTTGGGTTTTGGGGTCAGAGTCGGGAGAGCACCTGTGAAGCCACAATGATCCAGATACACGCAAGGTGTGCACGTTCCCATCGGCCTCCTCAGGGAGAGCAGCGCTTCTGTGCCTGGGAGCAGCGAAGGTTGCACAGGAGGACCCACCCCTCGTGTCGGTGGCGCCGCTGGTATAATCAGGACTCGTGTGCAGTTCTTCATGTCGTGGCCCTTATTGCAGAGGGAGCAGCACGGGCTTTCCTAGAAGCTCCCCTCGGTCCTGTGGGTGGCTGAGAGCCCCAACTTGCGAGACTGGACAGGTCCAAGTGGCCCGGAGCCACAGTGGCCTGGCAGTGCCTGGGGAGGGGATGACGACAGGTGCGCACAGAGGCCCATGTGGTCGGTCTGGAGAATGCGGGAGATGTGAAATATGTAATCCTGAGTGTGGTGTCTAGAAAGAAGGTTCGCAAAGCTGAATATCCATTCGTGCTGTTCCCTTCTCACAGGAGATTCCTGTCAACGTCCGATTCTGCCTTGAAGGCATGGAGGAGTCAGGCTCCGAGGGCCTAGACGAGCTGATTTTCGCCCAGAAAGACACATTCTTTAAGGATGTGGACTATGTCTGCATTTCTGACAATTACTGGTTGGGAAAGAAGAAACCCTGCATCACCTATGGCCTCAGGGGCATTTGCTACTTTTTCATCGAGGTACAGTGCCAAGCTGTACGGCTTCACTTTTTTCTAACCCCTGAGTCTCCTGGTTCTTCCAAGCCCAAAGTAGGCAAGGACCCAGAAGTCAGGTGCGCAGGAAGGAGAAGCACAGGGCTTACGTAGTGCCCCAATTCCCAGCTTCCATAAACCACCGTCATACAGCAGGGTGGACAGCAACATTTCCAGTGATCAGAAGTTAACACACAGCAGCGTCAAGCTAGGACAGTGTGATTTGTAATGTCGCCTTGGAGCGGCTGAGAGATTAAATGCTAGTTCATTTCAGGAGATGCAAACACATACAAAGCATTTTAGAAACACTTCCTTGTGAAGGTTGAAATATTGATATGTTAGCACTTAGGCTCCTTATCCTGTGACTTAAGGAGAAACTGAGGCCAGGTGCAGTGGCTCACGCCTGTAATCCCCAGCACTTTGGAGGCCGAGCAGGGCGGGATCACTTGAGTCAGGAGTTCGAACCAGCCTGGCCAACATGGTGAAACCCCGTCTCTACAAAAATACAAAAAGTTAGCCGGGTGTGGTGGCGGGTGCCTGTAATCCCAGCTACTCGGGAGGCTGAGGGAGGAAAATCACTTGAACCCAGGAAGCGGAGGGTTGCAGTGAGTGTGAGATTGCACCGTTGCACTCCAGCCTGAGCTTACAGAGTGAGGACTCCGTGTCCAAAAAAAAAAAAAAAGAGAAACCAAGCCAGCACTGAGCATGGGAAGGGCCAGGCCTGGCTGGATTCTCCCACTTACTGGCTGGTGGTCATCTCCCAATACCCCACAGGATGACTGTGGTGATTAAATTAGATCCTGTTTGCAGACGTCGTTTTATAACCTGAACAGTGCTAGAAATCACTGCAGTTGCTGCCCTGAGCCCTCACTCTGAGCAAGGCACTGTTCTGGTTCTAAAAGTGGCCCCTTGTCACCCCCGGTGCTGGGAGGGGCACTGCGCCTCTTCCATTTGCAGGCCAGGAGGCCGGGCACTTTGCAGGCAGCTGCCCTACGCTGGGCATGCGGCTGCTCAGTGCAAGGGCGAGGTCCGACCCCAGGTGTCGGGCTCCAGGCCCGTGGGGGGTCTCATTCATGTCGGGCCGCCTCTCGGCAGAGGTGCAGGGTCTTTGTTAAACTTCTAGTGAAGGCTTTGAGAGGGAGGCAGATTGCCCTGTGGAATGCTTGTACCTGTGGCTAGTGTTACCATCTCATCTGTGGTTGGCATATGCCACAGATAAGCTGGTATTTTTTTTGTTCCTGCCTAAGTTTTAATTGGGGAAATGCTTTGCTTTGCTCCCTGAGGGAGCAAATTTTGATTTGGAAAATTGTCAGGCCTTGTAAATGCTCTTTGTTGAATTCACTGTCACATGATAAAAATAAGCTGCCACTAGGCAGCCAGATACAGTAGCCTTTGTTTCCGTGCAGGTGGAGTGCAGCAACAAAGACCTCCATTCCGGGGTGTACGGGGGCTCGGTGCACGAGGCCATGACTGATCTCATTTTGCTGATGGGTAAGTGTGGGATGGGCGTTCCGTCCGCAGCTTAGGGGAAAGTGACGCGCGTGACCTCCAGGCTGTCTGTCATCAGCATTGGGTGCATTTCAGCATTCCACATGAACCAACTTCTGTCTCGGTTTCCAAACTGTGCCTCTCCCTCCTTCCACTCACTTGTGCCTCTGAGAGGCCCCCTTGTTTTATTTTTGCCCCCTGAAGCCCTCCTGTGCCTGTCACCACCTGGTGAAACCTTACCCTGCCTCCAGCACCCAACTCCGTCGCCCCCAGGTCCTGTCTGGCCAAGCCCCTCGCAGCAGGTGGTGCTGTCCTTCCTTTGGACGTGGTCATTTGACGTCTCTTGTAGAGCGTGTGTTTGGGCCCGTCTTATGTGATAACTGGCCCCGTCCAGGTCCCCCCGCCTGATCAGCTCTTTGAGAGCAGGCGTCTCGTCATGCTGTCCTTGGCGTCCTCCTGCTCTGAGGCCAAGCACAGCCCTCACTTCCCGCAGCATCCACAAGCTCTCCATTCCTCCCCGCCAATGCCAGCTGCCTGCGTGACACCCACTCTGTGATACCCACAGTTTACCCTCAGCTCAGGAGCAGCACGTTTCTTGTGGAGTGTGTGTTCAAAAGGCATGTGGGGCAGTGCGGTGGTGGTTAGAGTGGGGCTGTGTGAAGCCAGTCTGCTGATTTGTGTCGTGGTCCATGACCAAGGACCATTTCCTTTCCCCACGTGTTCCTCAGTCTCCTTACCTGAGACATGGGAATGCCTAGGCTGCTCCCTCATTGGCTGTTCAGCTGATTACATCACTGGCTCTTCGGCTGATTCCATCACTGGCTGAGCCTGAGGCCCCAGACGGTGCCTGACAGGCGACACGTGCCTGGGACGCATCCACAAGCATCATTCTGTGGACCGTTGTGGCTACTTTTGGCCCCTCCTCAGCCGCGTGGCTGTGGGCCTGAGCCGCATCTCTCCTGAGCCCGGCTCCCTGGGGTCAGTGCAGGAAAGAGCAGCTTGCCTTGGGCGTGGCCTCCCCTGGGTGCTGTAACCCTCTCCCGCTTCCCTCAGGCTCTTTGGTGGACAAGAGGGGGAACATCCTGATCCCCGGCATTAACGAGGCCGTGGCCGCCGTCACGGAAGAGGAGCACAAGCTGTACGACGACATCGACTTTGACATAGAGGAATTTGCCAAGGACGTGGGGGCGCAGATCCTCCTGCACAACAACAAGGTGCTGATTCAGGCCTCGACCCTGCCACCTGCCTGGGCCACGCTGTGACACAGGTGTCCCCCAGGCCCTGTCACCTTCCCTGGCTCCAGGGGGTCTCCGAGGGACGGAGCTGGAGTGTCCAGTGCACATGAGTCACCAAACAGTGGAGACACTCAGAAAGCAGGCTGTGACCAGGTTGCTGGTCGTTGGAATTTTTTAGTATCAAAATCCACTTTTAATTCCATCAGACCTGGAGAAGCATGCAGAGGGGACATGGGCTGGCTCCTGCTGGCAGCGGCTCTGCCATGTTTGTGTTTATAGAGTAACCTCCTTACCACTGGACCCAGGGATCATGTTAGCCACACCAGAGCCGAGTGCTAGGTGGAAACTGCCGAATGTTTACCTCACTGTTAGGGGAAAAGTGGCTCATGACTTTTCTCTAGGCTGTAGGTTTATGCGGTATGGAGGTAAGTTCTGTAGGCTGTGGGCTTGTGCTGTATAGATGGAAGTTCTTCAGGCTATGGGTTTATGTAGTATGGAAGTAAGTTCTTCAGGCTGTGGGTTTATGTAGTATGGATGGAAGTTCTGCAGGCTGTGGGTTATGTGGTATAGATGGAAGTTCTGCAGGCTGTGGGTTATGTGGTATAGATGGAAGTTCTGCAGGCTGTGGGTTATGTGGTATAGATGGAAGTTCTGCAGGCTGTAGGGTTATGCGGTATAGATGTAAGTTCTCCAGGCTGTGGGTTATGTGGTATAGATGTAAGTTCTCCAGGCTGTGGGTTATGTGGTATAGATGTAAGTTCTGCAGGCTGTGGGTTATGTGGTATAGATGTAAGTTCTCCAGGCTGTGGGTTATGTGGTATAGATGTAAGTTCTCCAGGCTGTAGGTTTATGTGGTATAGATGTAAGTTCTCCAGGCTGTGGGTTATGTGGTATAGATGTAAGTTCTCCAGGCTGTGGGTTATGTGGTATAGATGTAAGTTCTGCAGGCTGTGGGTTATGTGGTATAGATGTAAGTTCTCCAGGCTGTGGGTTATGTGGTATAGATGGAAGTTCTGCAGGCTGTGGGTTATGTGGTATAGATGGAAGTTCTCCAGGCTGTGGGTTATGCGGTATAGATGTAAGTTCTGCAGGCTGTGGGTTATGTGGTATAGATGGAAGTTCTGCAGGCTATAGGTTTATGTGGTATAGATGGAAGTTCTCCAGGCTGTAGGTTTATGTGGTATAGATGGAAGTTCTGCAGGCTGTAGGTTTATGTGGTATAGATGGAAGTTCTGCAGGCTGTAGGTTTATGTGGTATAGATGGAAGTTCTGCAGGCTGTAGGTTTATGTGGTATAGATGGAAGTTCTGCAGGCTGTGGGTTATGCGGTATAGATGGAAGTTCTGCAGGCTGTAGGTTTATGTGGTATAGATGTAAGTTCTCCAGGCTGTGGGTTATGCGGTATAGATGTAAGTTCTGCAGGCTGTGGGTTATGTGGTATAGATGGAAGTTCTCCAGGCTGTAGGTTTATGCGGTATAGATGTAAGTTCTGCAGGCTGTAGGTTTATGTGGTATAGATGTAAGTTCTGCAGGCTGTAGGTTTATGTGGTATAGATGGAAGTTCTTCAGGCTATAGGTTTATGTGGTATGGATGTAAGTTCTGCAGGCTGTGGGTTATGTGGTATAGATGTAAGTTCTGTGCCATTGATTCAGCCAGCATCAGTTGAATCAAGCAACTCAGCCCCTGGGACACAAGGGAAATAAGGCCCGGCTGGGCTCTTGAGTTTTGTCTCCCAGAGACAGACGGGCAAGAGCTCTGGAAGGACGTGCTAAGGGCCACACTGGGCAGTCCCAAAGGCTGTGCGCCTGCACGAGGGGAGCGTCATGGTGCTAGGAGCGGCTGAGGCTCATCAGAGGGTCCTGTCGGCCAGCAGAGGTGCAGGGCAAGGCTGGCGTGCCCGGTGAGCCGGAGCACGGACGTATTGGCTGCTTGGGGACAGACGGGCAGCGGGGTGAGGCCTGGGACCAAGACCGACATGCTGGCCTGATGGCCTGGGCATGGCCGTGGAACTCCGGGTCGTCCTAGGAGGCGGTGAGCCCTGCCAGGCTTTGAGTTCATCCGTTCTCACGTTGGGAAGGATCATGGGTTGGGGTGTTGGAGCTGAGTCGGTGGAGCTGGGAGACCTGTGAGGCTGTTGCAGGTGTGGGAGCCTTGGCTGACATCAGGGAGGAGCCTCTGGAATAGGAAGAGAAGGTTCCCACTGGCACTGACTGGACAGTGATGTCATGGACCGAGGGGTTGGGTGCGGGGAGGAGCGGGCCTGGGAGAAGGTGGGTCTGTTTCTCCTGCCCTGTCCCTCAGGCTCGTATTTGCTTCTGTGTATGGTGTTTTAGGGCCTCGTCTGTACCTCCCAGATAACATTGAGCTGTTTGGTTCACAAACATAAATCTACATATTCAGTGGCTAAGTCACTGAGGAACTTTCTGGAATCCCCTTTAGGGGCACACCTACTCTCTTGACCCACCTTCTGCTGCAGGGATGTGGGGGGCGGGGGCAGGCAGGAAGGTCATGGTGTTGATGACACGCTTGGGAAACAGGAGATGAAGTCTGTCCTGGTCTGAGGAGATGGCATCATCGGTATTCACGGGCCTGCACCAGATTTGCCGGTCAGCCTGGCTGTCCTCTGTCAGTAGGAACGGGCTGCACGCCTATGTCCTGTGGGCCTGGGAGAGGCCTACACACAGCCTGGGCTGCATCCGCTCTTCCTCTTGGTGCCTCTGGCTCATCAAGAGCTCCAATGTCTGTGGGATCTTGACACCCCCAGTTCTACAGGTGCTCAGTGGCCAGCGTGGCTCTCCTAGTTCTGCTGGGTGGACCTGAGCCACCCACACTGCAGCGAGAAGCAGTAAAATGCCTCACCTGAGGGTGTGCAGCCTGTCAGGGGCCTGCTTTGTGCTGAGTCACTCGCTGCAGCTGCAGAGTGCACCGGGGCAGGGTGCCTGCACCTGGACCTCCTGCCTGTGGTTGTCCGGGTCCTGGGCCAAGGCCTGTCTCACACTGCTGATTTCCCAGACAACATTCCCAGCTCCTCAGTGAGCAGACAGGGCTGGCACCGAGTGCCTGAGGTGTCCCTGAGCCTCTGATTTTTCTGCAGAAAGACATCCTCATGCACCGATGGCGGTTCCCGTCTCTCTCCCTCCATGGCATCGAAGGCGCCTTCTCTGGGTCGGGGGCCAAGACCGTGATTCCCAGGAAGGTGGTTGGCAAGTTCTCCATCAGGCTCGTGCCGAACATGACTCCTGAAGTCGTCAGCGAGCAGGCATGTGGGGCTGGGACACAGGGCGGGGCCAAGAGCGGCTGTGTCCGGGCAGAGACTTGGGTAACAAAGGTTCTTACTAGGCAGACACCCAGGCCACGCATGCCCCCACTTCCTGGCTCTGGCAAAATCAGTAATCATAACGGCAGTCGTGATTCAGAAGCTAATGTAAGATAATGTATCACATGTAAGTGACCTTTGTTACTGATCTGGCCTTTGTTACTAAAATCTGGCCTTTGACCTTACCTCAAGGCTCCAGGACAAACACCAATGTTGCGCCAGGTGTGTTCTGGTCAGAGTCCCGGAGCCGCCCCTTACCATGGTACTGTGTGGAGGGGACTCTGGTGGCCGGAGGTCAGCCCAGCTTCTGACTGCCCTGCTCAGCTGGGATTCATGGGGAAATGGAGTCGGAGTCTTTCCACTGGGAACGGGAGCCTGGGGCTCGCCCTTCGTGCTCAACACTGAGGTCTTGTCACTAGGAGGAGTCCCCGGACCAGTGCCTGGCTCTATCCTGGGTCTGGATGCAGTGTAGCCTGTGGTCATTTATTTTATGAAGTGCTTTCGGTCTGCTCAGGCTGCCACAATAAAGACCACAGACAGACCGGGTGGCTTACGTGGCAGAAACGGATTTCTCACTGTGTCGGAGGTGGGCGAGTCCAGGACCAAGGTGCTGGCAGCTGTGGCATCTGACGAGGGTTCCTCGCTTGTTCTCACATGGCGGAGGGCAGGCTCTCTGTATCTTCTTACTCAGGCTGCGTCCCACCCTTCTGGCCTCATTTAACCTTTGTCTAAATAAGGTTTAGAAAAAGAAAAAAAAAAACCTATTAAAGAAAAAAAGCCAGGCTTTTAATAATTCAAGTTAGTTTTATTCAGGCCTCTCACTGAGGACTGCGGACTGCGGCCTGGGGCCCAGGAGCAGCCTTCAAGAGGTCTGGCCAGGCTGCTCCGAGACAGCGGCTCAGCCCGCAGCTCATCTGCAGGTGGGGGAGCTTCAGTGCGTGCAGAATCACATCGCACCTGCTCAGATGTTACATTCCAGCCAAGCCACACTGAGCCTCAGTGTAAGAGTGCGTGTGGTCATAGGTGACAGAGGCACAACCAGTAATGCGGTCAGGCACTATCTCATGTGTGGGAAAAGGTAAGGACAGGGTCATTTATCTCCTAAGGAATGCAGCGACTCGGGCAAGAGGCAGGGCGGTGCGTGCTCCCCCCGTTTTGTCTTCAAAGCATCTTTCCCGAGAGCTGCAGGTAGTGGCAGGGTGGAGCCTGTGAAATAGGCCGGCAAGCGGATCGGCGCACACGCAGTTTCTCACATTTGTGACTTTGTCTCACACCTTAGTTACTTCTGTTAAGTTCCCAAATGTAGTCACAATGGAGTTTAGGGCTTAAATATATGAATTCTGGGGGCACACGAACATTCTGTCCAGAATATAAAGCAGGTCAGGGAAGACTGTTTTTATATGTAATTTAAATAGTTTCATCATTTGGAAGATCTTTGGAAAGAGTGAATTGCTTGACACTAAAACTTTGTCTTTTACTTTGAAATAACTGGGTTTTATTTTTTGATAAGAACTCCCCTGTTTTTGGCCGGGCGCGGTGGCTCACGCTTGTAATCCCAGCACTTTGGGAGGCTGAGGCAGGCGGATCATGAGGTCAGGAGATTGAGACCATGGTAAAACCCTGTCTCTACTAAAAATACAAAAAATTAGCCGGGCGAGGTGGCGGGCGCCTGCAGTCCCAGCTACTCGGGAGGCTGAGGCAGGAGAATGGCGTGAACCCGGGAGGCGGAGCTTGCAGTGAGCCCACACCGTGCCACTGCACTCCAGCCTGGGCGACAGAGCGAGACTCTGTCTCAAAAAAAAAAAAAAGAAGTCCCCTCTTTCCTTACTCTCGTTACATAGCTCAGTATTAAGCGACAGAAAATGAGACTCATCGTAGACTCAGCATAGACCCGTTGCAGACCTGTCAGAGGCCAATTGTAGGCTCGCTGTAGACCTGTGATAGCAGACCCGTAGGTCACTAGCATTGGATCGAATGCCAAGCTTATAAAGCATTGTATGTCTGTCTTCTATTTGTGGTTTAGGTCACAAGCTACCTAACTAAGAAGTTTGCTGAACTGCACAGCCCCAACGAGTTCAAGGTGTACATGGGCCACGGTGGGAAGCCCTGGGTCACCGACTGCAGTCACCCTCATTACGTAGCTGGGAGAAGAGCCATGAAGACAGGTTGGACACTCCTTGTGGATGATGCTGGGCAGGGCCCTTCGCATGTCTGATAGGACTCTGATACCGCGTGGGCGCGTAGCTATGTCGGGGCACTGCTGTATCGTTGGGCATGTAGTTAAGTCAGCATGAGGACAGTCGGTGGGTGGGAGGAGCCTGGGCCCCTGGCAGACCTCGAACATGGGTTTGCTGTCCCCAGGGCCTCGCACGGGGTCTGACTGAGTGCGACTGAATAGTGATCTGAGACAGATCCCCAACCTTGGGGCCCCAAAGCTCACCGTTTATTTTATTCCATTTCCCCCAGTTTTTGGTGTTGAGGCAGACTTGACCAGGGAAGGCGGCAGTATTCCCGTGACCTTGACCTTTCAGGAGGCCACGGGCAAGAACATCATGCTACTGCCTATGGGGTCGGCGGATGACGGAGCCCACTCCCAGAATGAAAAGCTCAACAGGTGAGAGTCCAGGGTGCGGCCCAGGTTGGCGTCTCCTGCACAGCGTCCCTCTTGTCCCTTCCCCTTCCCACCGTGTGCAGCTGCCAAGAGAAGCAGGTGGGGGTGATGGCCCGTGACCTGCCTTCCTGTATTTGTGTGAAGCGGGAACTTCAGATGGGAGGCAGGACGAGGCCTTGCAGGAGCGGGTGCTAAAAACAAGGTTCATGCAGTGTTGATCTGCGCACTTCATCTACCCCTCTCTCCATTTCCTTTTTTTTCCTGTTCATTTTCCTGTTTCCTTTTTGAGGAACTGCAGTATCATTGCTAACTGCACATGTTGCTGCTCTGACACATCCTTGACTTGGGCGGACGTGATGGGGATTCTTCCCACAACAGGGCAGGTGCAGCCTCTGAGCTGGCCTTGGGAGCAGGAGGGGCCCAGCAGGCAGGGGTCTTGGGCAGTTCCAGGAGAGGCCTCTAGCCCCTAACATAGCTGAGGAGGGCAGAAGGCAAGAATGCTTCCTGTGGTAACCAAGGCAGACGATCAGGGGCTAAGACCGAGGCAGAGACCCTGCAGGAAGGAGGGAGGGGGAGACAGAGACCTGGCTGAGAGGACCAGAGGGGAGGCCTGGTCTTTAGAAACAGGTGGATAATGGGAGGAGCCCACGATCCAAGCTTGATATTCACTAGCTAGGCACTGGGGGACCAGGATTGGTCTCTGGGCTGGGCAGTCAGACTGAAGCTGCACTTGAGAACCGGGGTGCTGGATTCTGAAGGCAGGCGGTGCTCGGGGCCCCCAGGCTGGGCTGGGGGATGCTCCCCAGGAAGAAGGCAGAGTGTGTCTGGGCTCGAGAGGAGTCGCCTCGCGCCTGGGTGTCGGCTCACAACACCAGCTGACACGACCATGTGTTCCTCTTTACCAGGCATAACTACATAGAGGGAACCAAGATGCTGGCCGCGTACCTCTATGAGGTCTCCCAGCTGAAGGACTAGGCCCGGCCTCCTGTGTGTCGCCTCCAACGAGAAGGAATCCTGCCCTCACCTCACCCTTTTCCGACTTGCCCAGGGAAGTGGAGGTTCCCTCTTTCCTTTCCCTCTTGTCAGGTCATCTACGACTTCAGAGAACAGACACAAGTGTATCCAGCTGTCCATGGGTAGAGCTACCCGATGGGCTTATGAGTGACCTAGAGTGACAGCTGAGTCACCCTGGGTAAGTTCTCGGAGTGGTCAGGATGGCTTGACCTGCAGAAAATACCCAAGGTCCAAAAGCACAAGGTCTGCAGAAAGTTCTGGTTGTTGACTGGGTACCACAGTTCACACCTATAATCCCAGCACTTTAGGAGGCCAAGGCAGGAGGATCACTTGAGGCCAGGAGTCTGAGACCAGCCTAGGCAACAAAACAAGACTCTGTCTCTACAAAAAGTTTAAGAAATGAACCAGACACGATGGTGTATGCCTGTAGTCCCAGCCACTCAGAAGGCCGAGGCAGGAGGATCGCTCGAGACCAAGAGTTTGAGCTTGCAGTGAGCTATGATTGCACCACTGCACTCAAGTCTGGGCAATGTAGCGAGACCCCGTCTACAAGAAGTTTTTTAAAAAATGAGCCAGGTGTGGTGGTGCACGCCTGTAGTCCCAGCTACTCAGGACACTGATGTAGGAGGGTTGCTTGAGACTGAGAGTTGGAGGCTGCAATGAGCCGTGACTGCCCCACTGCACTCCAGCCTGGGCGACAGAACAAGACCCCATCTCAAAAAAAAAAAATTCTGGTTGTCATTGAATTGGGATAAACAGAGAGTTTGATGCTTTCTGCCTTCTGTCTCAGGTGATGCATTGCACATTTGGGATATATGGAAAGGAAATGAGGAGAGAAGTCAGGGCCTCCTCTGATCTCTCGCTATCTGCGGGTCCTGTCCTTTTCTCAAGACCTTCACCATTACTGGCGTTTCCCTGTCTTCTCTTTAGTATGATCCCTCAAAACCTCACCTAACTGGAAGGATGATTTTGTCTCAGTTTGTACTCCTAAATAAAAAGTAAACATGACACCTCTAAAAGAATCGCTCCATCTGAGTTGCTCGCGGCGTGCACAACATGCTTATTGAGTGGGGTCTGGTTGATGTTGTCAGCTCAGGGCAGGGGACAGCAGGCAGGACCCAGAAAACAGAACCCAGGTCTTCCCAGGCGAGCGCTCCCTCCCTCGTCCACACGAGTGGAGGCTCACTCATGGCCCCCTGCATGTTCCCAGAAGTGTCCCTGTCCCTGCTCCTTACGGCTGTGGGGCCACAGGAAGTCCACCTGGCTTAAACAAAGAGTTGATTGGCCCAGTTCACATAAAAGAACAGAATAAACTCAATAAAAGGAAAAGGCTCCTTGAAGTGGTTGGTTCCAGGGCTGGAGAGGGGAAATGCAAGATGAGCCTGGACCCTCTCACATCAGAACGTAAGGATGTGCCCTGAGGGCACGGGGCTGCGTCCAAGAACACAGGAGCCAGCCTGGAAGAGCTCGCAGGGGCCCAGGGGAGCAACTGGAGTGAGAAAATAGCAGTAATGTTGGATTTTTACCACGGAATAAATAATCTGTGAGTTCGTACTAATATAAATAAATAAAGCGACAAAGTGGGTGAGAAGGAGCAGTGCCCCTTCATGAAGAATCTCCGCTCATGTAGGAGGGAAGTGGGAGATCCAAGCTGGAGCAGCTGCTGCTGCAGGTGAGGCCCCTGACACACTCGCAAATTGGTAGGCGGTTTAAGGAACGGGATATTTGCATAGCTTGAAAGCACCTCCCAAGGAAAAAAAAAAAAAAACAGGAACTTCACAGTGGAGAGACCTGGCAGGTGCCACCCTCAGATCAAAATGAACTTGAGCAGTAATGACACATCCACACCAGGCACTCCTGACACCACGCCCTGAGGAGGACGTGTCAGTTCTGGGAACATCACACTCATTGTGAAAAAACATCAGACAAACACAAACGGATGAAACGTGAGGAAAATCTGTAGTTGGTTTTACGCGGATGTTAATCTCTTAGTTTTGATCCCTGTGCTGTGGCTGCTTAAGAGGTCAGCTGGGCGAAGTGTGTCTGGGGACCCTCTATGACTGTTGCATCTTCTTTCTAAGTCTCCTGTCATTTCAAAGTAAAAACAAAAAAAGAAGACAAGGGTAGCGGCTTCAGGTACGGCTGGACCCAGCACTCAGTGCTATCTGGGCTTGTGGCTCCAACTCTCAACTCCTCCATCAGAACTGTGAGAAATGCCTTCTTTCAGATTCTAATCCTGCAAGAAGAACTGCATGGTCTTCCCCCAGAAATCCTAAGAGTAGCTGCTGGTGTCTCGTGCATGCGAGCTGCATATGGGCCCGTGTCGGCAGGAACCCACGCTGAGAGGTGCTACGGTTTGAATGTCTGGTTCCTCCCAAACTCGTGTTGAAACTTAATAGCCATTGTAACATATTAAGAGGCAGGACCTTGAACTGGTCAGGCCATGAGGGTCCTGTCCTCCTGATGGGTGAATGCTGTTATTGTAGGAGTGGGCTCTTTACAACAAGGCTTGTTTGGCCTCCTCTTGCTCTCTCTACCCTTCTCTGAGCCCTTGTGTTGTGGGATGACACAGCCAGAAGGCCCTCGCCAGGTCCTGGCCCCTCCACCTCAGACCTCCCAGCCTCCCAAACCATGAGCCAATACATCTCTGCTCATTGTAAGTTACCTAGTCTTGGGCATCATGTTATAGCAGCAAAAAGCAGCCTACGGCAGTCACCGTGCTAAAACCTGCAGCACCTTGCGTGGCTCAGGGCAGTCAGGTTCCCTTGAAGTAAGTGGGAGGTCGTCACCTCTGGAAGTGCTAGGGGAGGGTGATCTGGAGGAAATCACAGTGGTGTTCTACTAGAAGGCTGATGACTCCTGGGGAAAGTGCCAATGCTCACCTGCATCTCTGCAAGCTCAGTCCCTGGTGGAATCTCCAGGAGCACAAGGGCCATCTCGACAGCTCCACGTTCCCAGCACCCGGCCCAAGCCTGGCCCATGATCAGACAAATGCCTCAGTGGGGTGGCATGGATGTTTTCACACATCCAGACTGCCGCATGTGAGAAGCTGAGCTGGCGTGCCACTAGCTGTTTTGATGTAAACAACAGTTTTGTAAAACCCTGGACCTAATGGGCCTGACTAACTGCTGGTTCTGTGAACTTGAGCCTCCACGTCCTCCTGTGTCAGAAGAGCACAAACCACTTTTGCGGAGAGGTTATGAAGACAGAAATGACCCTGTGACCCCTTTGCAAAAAATGAAGAACTGTTCCCACTCATGCATGAAGCTGGATCTTCTCAAGTGGGAAACAGGCATGGTAAATAGATACTGTTTCAGCCTGTGTAATCTGGGACCAGTTTTTTTTAAAGCAAGTCTAAAGTTTTTTTCAGACTACTGCAATATGGTACATGATAGGAATATTGAAATTTATTAAAAACAAAAGACTTTCTCTAAGTGTCACTTCTAAGTTTTATTCAAAAAGCAGATACATCTTAGGTCCTTTAGAGAAAGGTGTTTCATACATCAAGAGGCATTGAAAATTGCAGCCACTTGGCCCTCTAAACATTACATTACTAAACTATTTTATTTACTGAAAAGACTAAATGCCTTGAAAAGTGTCCATGAATCCAACGGTGGTCTGCAGATTCACAAATGAATTATTTGAATATTTCTAGAAGAGCAACCATAGATTTATGTCCATACTATTTACTGGCCTAACAGTTGCAAGAAATTGTATTAAATGGAAAAATGTGAGAAAGTAAATATCTGCTGCTTGATATTGGAGAGGAAAATTGCTACTACGTCACCCAAGTAAGGAGCTGCCAATTTTAGGGATCATTTCCCTTTAAAAAATGATTGACAGTACCTTTAGGGGGAGTTAGAGTTCCTCCCAAAGGATTCATTCATTGCTATTTATATAATTCATGTTACAAAGGGCTTTAAAGATGTTTGTCTAATGTTTCATTGCATCCCAGTGAAACAGGAGGCTTCGTCCGTGTGCCATAGAGGGGAAAGGCCTGAGAGCCGTGTGGTGGCCTGCCGTCACTCGGCTCCTGGGAGGCAGCCTTGGGACCCAGGCCTCCCCCCTTCCCCTCCCCTTGCTGGGGGACACTCATGGCCTCCCCTCTGTGGCAGGAGGCCAGTTGTTCCTGGTGTGCACTTGGCCTCCCGCCTTTCCCACTGAGGTCTCGGTATTTCTCCTTCTGGTTTCCCCCATGTGATTTCTTGTTGACAGCTTTGGTAAAGGTGCAATTCATAGACCAAACAATCCACCTGTTTAGTGTGAACAATTCAGTGGCTTCTCGTATAGTCACAGAGTTGCACAACCATCTCCAGTTGATTTCAAAACATTTTCAAAATGTTTTTGCCTCCAAAAGAAACCCAGTACCTGTAACCTATCACCTCCCCCACACAATCGCCCTGTCTCCCTCAGTCCCAAGCATCCACTCATCTACTTTCTGTCTCTATGGACTTCCTTTTTTCTTTTCTTTTCTTTTCTTTTTTTTGAGATGGAATCTGGGTCTGTCACCCAGGCTGGCATGCAACAGCGTGATCTTGGCTCACTGCAACCTCCGCCTCCTGGGTTCAAATGATTATCCTGCCTCAGCCTCCTGAGTAGCTGGGATAATAGGCATGCGCCACCATGCCTGGCTAATTTTTGTATTTTTTAGTAGAGACGAGGTTTCACCATGTTGGTCACGCTGGTCTCGAACTCCCAACCTCAGGTGATCTGCCCACCTCTGCCTCCCAAAGTGCTGGGATTACAGGCATAAGCCACTGCACCTGGCCTGGACTTTCATATACATGGAATTATGCAATATATGGCCTTTAGTTTTTGTTTGTTTGTTTTTAAGAAACAATGTTTTGCTCTGTCACCCAGCTGGAGTGCAGTGGCACCATCTTGGCTCACTGCAGCCTCAACCTCCTGGGTTCAAGTGATCCTCCAGCCTTCCAGGGAGCTGGGACTACAGGGTGCGTGACTGTGCCCAGCTAATTTTTAAATTTTTTGTAGAGACGGGGTCTTGCTATATGACCCAGGCTGGTCTCAAACTCCTGGCCTCAAGCAATTCTCCGAAGCTACCATGCCTGGCCTAATATGTGGTCTTTGTGTCTGACTTCCTTCACTTAGAAGAACGTTTTCAAGGTTCATCCATGGTGTCCCATGCGTTAGTACTTCATTCCTTCTTATAGCTGAGTAGTGTTGATTTTAAGTATAGACCACATTTTGCTTATCCATCCATAAGTTGGTGGACATTTGGATTGTCTCTACTCTGTCTATTATGAATAATGCTGCTGTGAACATTCATGTCCCAGTTTTTGTGTGGACACAGCTCCTCATTTCTCTTGGGTATATGCCTAGGAGGGGAATTGCTGGGCAATACAGGAATTCCAATTGTAGCTGTTTGGGGAACTGCTAGACTGTTGTCCAAAGCAGCTGTACCATTTGACATTCCCGCCAGCAGTGTACCAGGATTCTGATTTCTCCACACCCTCAACAACACCTGTAATCTTTCTGATAGTGCCATTCTAGTGGGTGTGACATGGTATCTCAGCATTTCTCCCTGGACCCAATCAATACGAAAATGATGTCGCTTCCAGATCCTGAAGGTTAGAGATAAGACTGATAGTCAAACACCTGTAGAATCCAAGAGTTGGAAGGGCAAACGTAGGGAGCAGCCAAGACTCCTGGGACAGAGAGCCCGAGGAAGAGCTACTCCTCAGGGCTAAGTCCAGACCTTGTTGGAGACAGCGTGGCCCCGGCGCAGTGCCCGGCAGAGAAGTCCCTGTGGAGAACTTGCTGGAATATGCCTTCCAGGGGTGCCAGGGAAGTTGTGCACAGGGAGGTGGCTTGCTGAAGGCACTGCATGATGAGACTTCCCCAGGAGGGCGTCAAGGGAACTGCTGGCTTCTGGACGCTGCTGGCCACCATGCTTCCATGAGCACAGGCCGGCTGCAGGAAGCTGTCCATGAGGGGGCACTCTGCTTTGTCCCTCCAGGGCTGCAGTGGGAGGCTGCCTCATTCTGGGAATCAGCATAGG